TTCGGTGTGACAAACCGAGTCACTTTGCCTCTGAATGTCCGGAACGACTCCAAAAATTACAAGGTGATTTTTCGGAATGTGACAACAACGACGGGCCCGTATTTTAAATACGGATCGGGGTTGAAGAATTCTCTAGAATGACTTAGAGATTCGGGAGTGATTGTTGGAATCCTAAGTCGAGTAGGACTTGGAGACCAAGTAAACTTGGGGCTTAAACAAGTTGGTTTAAGTTACTAGTCTAATACAAGTTGGTTTGTTAGGCTATATATACATGTTCATAATCGAGTTTATGATTATGAGAACAGATTGTAAACATTGATTTTGAGTGATTTTCCAATTAATCAAAGAGTTATTTTGGTTATTTTGTTTTGCATTCTTATTTTCTAAACTTTATTATTAGCATATAAAAATTTCCCCATATTACAAGAAAATTATGTTTTTCAAATTAATAGGACGAGACTATCCAAAGATTTGTGTGCTCACTTTCATAGAAAGTGGTAAATTATATCTTTAGTCTTTAGAGTTTAAACTATTGAATAATACATGAGACAAAGCTTTTATTGGACCATGGTCCATAATAGATCTTGGAGTGCGGCAGCACCCCCTAATCCTACACCTCCAAACTCCAAATTAAGCCATGGTTAGCTTAGCTACCCCACCGGCCACCACGCGACGCACCCTCAAGCTTTAGTTAAAGCACGGTCCATGATAGACTAGGAATTTTGGCATTATTAAAAGCTTGAAAATAATAATATTCCTAATTGATTTATTATCATAGGTTATATTTGTTTCTTTCTATTATAATTTTCTATTTTCAATATTCTATCATTATAGCAATGACATCTAACAATATAACAATTTTTATTGTTATAACAATATATGTTTTTCAAATCTAATGTTTCAATAAATAAGAAATGAAAATGCAATATTATTTCTTACATTTTTTTAACAGTGGACCACTTCAAGATTGAAGTTTGTGAGATTATAAAATAAATCAACTATATTTTTGAGTGTTTTATCACGGCTGATCACCACCAGGCCATATTAATGGTAGTAAAGTAAGACAACGTTTATTTCTTACATTTAACCATGGTATAAAGACTTTTGCATCACCCTACTCCAAATTAAACAATGGCTAGTCACCCCACCCACCCCTAAGCCTCTCACCAAAAGCTTTAGTTAAACCATGGTCCATGAAATATAATGAACTTGGCTCCATTGCTCCTCCAAATTAAGCCATGGCTAGCCACTCAACCGGACCCATCCCAACCCTACCCTAACTTTGGCATCAACCCTCCTCCAAATTAAGCCCTAATTTACTCCTACACCTTTCGCGGGCTCTTATAAATCATGGGCCATATTTGATAATGAATTTTGGCACCACCCATACCTTTGAACCAAGGCCTATTTATTCAACATCAATAGGAATGATAAGTTTTGGTGGCTTGGTTGTCAATTATAAAGAGTGGGGCTGGAATGTATTTGGAAAGAGATGTATGATGGCATTTGTTGGATTTCTTGGATCATTCCTTCAGTTTTTTGATATTAATTGCTATTAATATTATTTGTCTTGTAGGGTTTGCAATTGATTTGTCAATATCCTATTTGAGGTTGACTCACAATCTTACATTCTAAAACATGCATTGTGTGTATGTTTTTTTGTGTCTTAAAAATGGACAATTATATATTTAGATGGTTAGTCATCATCAAAAAAATTCTTCTTGCATGCAAAAATTAGAAAAAAAAAAAACAAAAAAAGCTTCGATTGAATACAGATGTATTTTGTTTTTCTTTTATTTCATACAAAAGTAGTTTAGCTAACTGACTAATAAAAGAATATAACATGTGATGTTATATACTGTATTATGATTATCATTTATTGGCTAAGAATATGAAAATGTAAAAACTGACAAAATATCCTTCAGTTATTTTGTACGAAATTTATTTTTGACAAATAACTATTTATTTCAATAGATTAAGTAACAAAAAAAAAAACAATAATTGGCAGCTTTTAATTTCATACATTAATATTGTATTTGTTAGCTAAATAGAAGTCTTCTTACACAAAAACTTTAATCAAAATTATTATTATTATTATTATTATTATTATTGGAACAGTTGGATTTTATAAACACAAGCTAGCTAGAGACTAACAAAATAACAATTAGTTTATGAGTGGGTTTTGCATCCATTCATTTTAGTTTTTTTTTTTTTTTTCTAGACTTTCGGTTTTTAGAATTAAATCAATTAAACCGGAAAAAACCAACGGAATCACATAACATATGACCATTTATTTATTTTCTGAATGAATATATTAAACTAGAGAAAACAAAGCAATTACCAAAGAATGTTTTTTTATTGCAGAGTAGAATATATCATTAAGAAAAAAGCTAACAAGAAACTAAACAACCAAGCATAGGAACAACCAAACCATTACAAAATAGCCATCAAAGGATTATGAAGCCAACCAATTCAGTCAACCGGCGTCTTAGACCGTTTAACACACTAAGAGTAGCATGCATGATTATATTATAAAAAAAAATTCTTAGGTTGCTTTTTATCAAACAAGAGCTTGTTCCTAAACAACCAAATATATCACCACATAACACATACAACACCCTCTAAGAACCGCATAGGAACCGGTTGCAAAACAGAGTTACATTACCTATTTAACCAAGTTTTATAACCCATTTGTAGTAATGTGTACAAATTTATGTTCATAATTCCATTGTTTTTTTTTTTTGTCTTTTTCATTATATTAAGGTCATCCATAATATCCTCCACTAATCACTATAGTAGTGGGTGTCACCTCATCACCACATTCTACCACTAAAACCATAAGATACCTACCATTAATACACCACTCCACGTCATTTTTTAATTAAAATTAAATTAAAAATACAATAAAACATATATTTTGTTTTTTTTAAACTATTTTTTATTCAACAAAAAAAAGAGAGTTGCACTAATTTAAAAAAAAAAACGATAATTTAAATTAAAATGCAAGAAAACATAAAAAGTTCAAACATAAAATAAACTACCCCTACAATCCTAGTTTATTTTGGGCAAACATAAAAATTCAAACATAAAATAAACTACTCTCTCCATTTTGGACAATCCTAAGACTTTAACCCAAGCTTTGAAATATGGAAAAGGTTTATGGATTGTGTTTTCATAATGGTAAATTCTCTTCTTCCTCTTCCGACGAATTCATTATTTTGGGAACTATGGTTTTTGAAAGAAACATCACAAATGTATGAATGTGAATAGAAGAAGAGAAGAATTCTGTGAAATATAAGGTTTGTAGTGGTATTCATTGGGGGGGGGGGGGGGGGGGGGGGGGTAAAATGGGCAGGTGCACAGGGTCCAATTTTTTTTTGGACAAATTTTTTTTTATTATATATTGTGTGTGTGTGTGTGTATATATATTTGAAAATAAAAAATTTATAATAGCGATAAGAGTCCTTTTTTCTGGCTCGTCCTGGGCATTTGAGGATATTTGAATCCTCAGGACCGGCCATGATGGTATTTATATAGGTAAAAATTAAATAAAAAAATCAAATAGCTGTAGAAAGAAAGGTCAAGCGGTCAAAAGAGTATTTAAACATGATTGGCCGTTGTTGTTCGTGGTTGGCATCACCATCGAGCACGACCACAAAGGTTCGGGCTGGTGTGCACGAACCACAGTCTTGGCCACCTAGACCATAAAACCCTTCATGGTATGCATTGCAAAAGGCCTAAGCAAGAAAGTGAAGTGTCAAAAAGAATGGTCGACACAGAAGGATGTTGCTTTTAGGTTGGAACCGAGGAGAACAAAGGAGAGAATTTTCATGAAGGAATTTGATTATGATATGATATCATGTAATTAATCAGAATATTTTCTCATTAATATTTCCTCGTATAATGCAATATATATATCGTTGTTACAATACATGATGAGCTAAACTAACACATACCGACATACGTATTGGCCGAGACACATGAGGGCCGAACAACGACAATATAACACACACATTAATATACTAACACAAACGAATCTCTTATTTTCTAGGAAAAGGTAATCTCCCAAATCGTGTTTTTATTAAAACATAAATAAAATATAGTAACTAAATAGCCACATTGGATGAGCTGGAATAGGCAAAAAAAGAACTTTTATGTATATTGAAACGGGATAGTTGACCCGACTCTTTTTCTAAAACAGTTGTGTTTATTAATAACTATTGTATTAAATTACAAATATATTATTGTTATAATAACAATTTAACTTTAACAGGTTATAAACAAAAAAATCAAAATTACCACCCCTGGCATGAATCTAATATAACTCACTATGTTTCACCTGAATGGAGTTGGAATTTAATAAGTAGTTTACTGTGAATGAATTATCACAAAATCAACCAAAAAGTCGCAAATACACTACAGGAGTCTTTAAGTGATCAATAATCGTTTTGTTTGACATTTAAAATTAACAAATCAAATAAATAAATAGAAAAACGATCATATATTTGTGGACACAACTATCCTTCGATCACATATTTACAACAAATCCTAAGTTTTTATAACCAACTACTTTTCCTATTGTTGCACTTAATGCATAATCGTGTATACATCAAAATGTCATTTGGCATACAAGCCATTTCAATATTTATAGTGGGGTCAATCACATCCATAAACTTCCAAAGCCACAAAAACGTCCTTATCTAATATAATGACAAAAAGATAAACATTGCAATACTATTACCTTTCTAAATATAGTGATTTCCATTAAAAAAATTGAACTAAAAATATCACATATTAAATAATTCTCAAAACTGGTCGTCACAACTTCAAAATAACAAATAATAAGAATAAATAAATCCAATATTTCTCACAAAAGAACACTATTTTGACAATATTTATAAATATTAATAACTTACAATATCTATATATCGGAAAAGCTTGTTCTATAAGTAACAAAAGAACAAAAGATTGATCGGAAAATATCAAAAAGTTTTCAGTGATCAAGACTTCCGGTGACCTCTTTTGTTTGGTTTCCTGGTGGTGGTGGTGGTGGTTTTACTGAACATAGCACAGCAGCCGGAGACTTTTGGGGAGGGAGGGTCCATGGTGGGTTCAACCACCAGAGTCCGATATGGTTTTGGGTCTGGCTCGGTTTTCACTTTTGGCTTAAGTTCCCCAGATGATAATTTATCTTCCCAAACTATCCCTGAAGAACCTATTCTTCTAAATGACACATCTGACCTTGGTAATACTGATCCATCCATCTAAATGTTTCTATGTGGCTTCTTAACCGTTGGGTTTTGGGTATAAATAACCCAAGAGGAATGAGAATATGACAAAAGAAGCATAAAAAGGGTAAAAAGTCAGAAGATGACATCTATTCCGGGTGTGAAATTACATTGTTGCCCTAATTCTATACAATTAAAATACAAGTCGGTGTAGAATGTTTCATAGTTATGATTTATGAAGAGGATGAAGTCAAACGAAGACCAAGGTTTTAACATGTAGTATGTGGGTTTAAGTATGTACTTTTGAATTTCATTTTTTTTCAACAATATTATAAGCATCTACTCTTGAGTTTTTCCAATCGTCATTATAAGAATCTAATCAGAATATATAATCTTAAATCTTTTTTTGTGATATTAATATGTGACCTTGAATTTGTCTCCGATAACTTTATAAGAATCTAGGGAATTTAATCAGAATAAACCAAAAATGTATGGAAGATAAATAGAAGAATAAAAAACTTACCAAAGATATTAAGCATGTACATTGCAGTCAACCTATGATCATGTGAATTAAACAGCTTACAGAAACCATGTCAAAAAAAACATTTAATTCACAAAATAAACTCAATTCCAAAACCCCAAAAATGGAAGAAAAAAAAAAACTTTCATCCCATGAAAGTAGACATGCATAGTTTCTCATCACAAAAACTAAAACTGTACATCAAGAACACAACACCCTCCCCCACCCCTACCCCACTACCCAAACTTCCTTTTGTTCTTGAGAATCTCACTCAAAGGTCTAGGACCCTGAAAACACTCTTTTCTTTCACTCAAATGTCTAGAACACTGAAAATCATCATTTCTTTGAAGGGTATTCTTCTTTTCTTCTCTTATTTCATCAAGGGTCTTTGGTCCTGTGAAGATAGCATCTTTTTCCTTAAATCTTCTCTTCTGTTGCATCAACTGTGGCTTCTTGTATCTGTTCACAGGGACAGCCTTTCTTTGAGGATATCTTCTAAAATTACGATCATGCCCTTGAGAAAAACAGTATGGAAAAGGAAAACCATTATTAAAAACCTTGCGTTTCTTCAAATGCTCACGAAGATCATGACCTTTTCTGCCATTAAATAATGGAGCTTCTGATTGTAAGTTTCTTTTCTTGAAAGAAAGCCGATAAAAGATACTCTTTCTTGATTCCCCTTTATCTAAACATTCATAAACATCACATCTCTCTTTTACAATTCCATTTCCCAATTCAGGGTAAGTTTGATCATACTCAATAGGGTCTTTTTCACCTTCTTCTTCTTCTTCTTCTTCTTCATGAACAGAAAAATACTCAACATCTTGTTCATATTCATACCTTTCAGATTCACCTTCAACAACAACATCAAAACCAGAACTTTGATCATTAAAAACATCAGATCCACTTTGAACAAATTCTTCCAGAAGATCCAATGAGTTTGACATATCTGGAGACTCGCTTCTTTCTTGTTGGGAATCCTGTGTGGGCATCCTCACATTGTTTGTGTGGTCCTCTTTTGCAGTTTCAGATGGAGTGGGGTGGATGTTGACTGGTGTTGACCTGGTTTTACTTTCTGTAAATAACTTTTCTACACAGGGGACTGGATTGTTGACAATGGATGTGGGTTTAGAGGGTTTCAAAGCAAGGCTGACATCAGCAGATCCATGGAGAAATGAACAGTGTTCGCCTTTGTTACAAAACCCTTTTGAGTAAAAGTAACAAGGGATGTTTGTTTTCTCCACAGGTAAAGCAGGAGCATTGTTAAGATTAGAAGATTCTAGGTATGCTTCCTTTAGTCCTTCCAATGGCTACAAAAGTAGCAGAAAATAAATTCAGAATGCAAATTGGTGTAATAAGTAATAACTAATAACACCTGATAGTATAGAAGAAGCTATAATATTGATTAAGAAGTAGGAGCTTACAGGATGTCTGAAAGCACAATCAGGGTTAAAACAGCATCCTCCTAACCAATACCAGCAATCTCTAGGGTTCAGCCTTGCAATCTCACTGTGTCGGTATTCACATTCAATTCCCTTGAAACACCACCATTAAAATGGAATGGAAGCACAAAAAAGTCGATTAAAATGCAGAAAACAAGAACTGAAACAGCTACATTCTACAATCCAACACAGTTTTTTTTTTTCACAAAGAACGCAATGTTTGACAGCAATGAAAATGAGAAAGCTGAGATAAATTTCAAAAAGAAAGATAAAGACATACATAAACCCTAACTGGAACCAGTGGCAAATCCTCCAGAACACGGAAATAGATTTCGAGAAAAATGTTTGGAGGAAAGAAATTAACAGCAATCATCCTGCATCCCTAGTTTAAGTATATCGATACATACCATTATCTCTATAAACAGTCTACGAAAAGGAAAACTAAAATAGACAATATTTACAATAAAATAATCAGATTCGTAAAACCCTATGAACTATAACCTCGTAAACCAGATAGTTGCAAAAGAACAAACTACAGAAAACCTAAAACAAATTTCCAAGAACGGTAATCGCTACATTCTGCAAACGCAATCGAAAGCATAAATTATAAACAAACAAATAAAGCGAAATTAAAAACACATTCGAAAACGGAGATTATACCTTCTTGCAAGTGAGCGGAGAGGCTAAGAAATAGACGCAATCAGTGAATCGCTTCTGTAATTCTTCTTCGTCCATTTCTTAAGATACACAAAGCGCACGAATCAATGAAATCTGTAAGAAAGTTACTTGAGATAAATGCTATGTTTCGTCGATATGGAAATGATCATATAATACTTGATTGAAAAAGAAATCGATAAATTTCTTAGAAATTAGGTTTCCATTTGATCTTTGTGGTGAACAAATTGGGTTTTCGGATTCTGAGTTTATGGCACTGTGTGTGTGTGTGTGTGTGTTTACGAGAGGGGGATTCTGTTCGTCTCAATCTTTATTTAACTTCGAGACACTAAATTTTCTTATTATAATAAAATATAGCTTAGTTTACAAGAAATGGTCCCCATAAAACTTGATAACTTTCACTTTCTTCCACTTCAAATTTTTATTTTCACTAATAGTCTTTATTGCAACTATGGTTTATGGTTTCCCAAGTGTTTTAACTCTAATGGTTCCTACTTATCTTTGCTACGTGAACCATATGACTAGGGGTGCAAACAGCCGAGCTAGGCCTGAACCTGACCAACTCGAGTTTGACTCGTTTTGAGCCTTATTTATCGTGCTCGAGATTGGTTTGTGAAAAAATATATAGGTTCGAGTTTGACTCGTTTTGGCTAATGAGTCTAATCAAGTTTAAACTTGGTTCGAGCTCGTTAAGAAGCTTATTTACAAATTCATTCAAGAAAAATAAACATTAAATCTACTTAAATTTCAACCAAGATGAAGATGCAAAATAAAAACTTCAAATTACACAATTTTTAAACTTCAAAATACAAACCTAAAATGTAATTAAATCATCCGAAATCAAGTCTTCTATCATGGAAGTTCAAATTACAAAAGTACTATAAAAATGATTAAATTTTAACATAACATATTATCAAAAGTAAGTCTTGAAGCAAATTCAATTCAGCGAAATCTACAAATTAGAACATTTTTTGAGATGTGCAGTATAATGTAATTAAATCAACAAGATTACAAGTATATTAAAAACGGTATACCTTTAACTATTATTTGACCATGTAGGTAATAAAACCTTAGTAGGTAATTTCTCCTTCTGTAAAAAAAAGATCAAATATTAATAAATTTAAATAATCAATTGTTAGTTCATGTGTTTTAAGTTTATAAAATGTGCCTTTAATTTTTTTCTTAATTCCATGACGATGTCTTGTCCAATCTCCTCTACAAATCAACTTTTGAACGGTGTCCGTTGCCAATGACTACAACTAGAGAATTACAAGCATATACCTTACAATTATAGTTGATGGTGATTGAAGTTTGTTATCCCAAGCTAAAGACCTTTGAAAATGGTATGTATTAACATAATTTTGCCTTCAAAATCTCCATATATTGTCCAAAACATAGATGACAGATCTTTTCCCATCAAATAGAACTAAAATAAATTTCCATTGACTTAGTAAGCGTAGGTCGAGCATAAATTGTTATGTAGTGTACGTGGAGCCCAAGGGTATAATGGTAATGTAGATGATGTGACCCAAGAGTTCGGTTTGTGCTTTGGAGCCCAAGGGTATAATGGTAAAAGTGATGGTTCGGACCTTTCACGAATTAATGATTCAATTTTGGAAGGTTTTGAGGAAAATGAGGGTTGATAGGAATGTAGGGCTTCTCATTACCTTTCCGAGCATATAAAGAACGCCGAAATCGGGGTCGGGACGAAGAACTTATGGTTTTCGGAAGATATGAAGAATTTGGGTCTAGTCCGACACATTGGGCGTATAGGGTATACGATGGGCGTACTAGGCTCGTATGATCACGGATGACCAGCCTGGTACGTTAGGCATACCAGGAGTACGCTGAGTGTACGGCCGCCAGACTCAAACCCTAATTTTTAGGGTTTGGACCCTATTTAAGCATCATTAACCCTTGGAACCCCCCCCCCCTCTAATTTTTTAGGGTTTGGACCCTAATTTTTAGGGCGTACTCGACCATGGCCCCGTTTTCTTATATGCTTAGTATGCACGGCGTAAGGGGTGGTGTACGCATGGTGTATTCCCGATTGGGGAATTTGGTCACTTTTGGGTCATTTTAGGGTTTGAACCATATTTGGTTGAGTATAGGCTTGAGGGGTATTCTAAAATGGTAATACATTACAAGGGGCAATCTGTAACTAGCAGAAGTCTAAGCTAGCTTTGTCTAGGCAATCTGTAGTTTGTTTGTTTGTTTTTTTTTTTGTTTTTCTTTTTTTTTTACTTTGAAAAAACTCATGTTTGTCATGTCCAATGACATTCAATATTCCTATTGTCATAAAATCGAGGGTATTCTAAAATGGTAATACATTACAAGGGGCATCATATATCCTAGTTATTCATCACACTGTCTAACTTAATGCGCTTCTCGTATATGCCAATCAAGTCCACATATCTCACTTGCCTGTGCACATACCCTATTCTTAGAAAACAGATGAACTTCCTACCATGGTGTAGCTCAATTGTGAACAATGTGGATTACATCTATACAAAAAAATAAAAATAAAAATAAAAACCCTACAATTCAGTCAAAAACCACAAATCAACTTAGCAGTTTGCTTAATCATTCAAACTTCTATCAAATGGGTTAAAACGAGACAATGATGCTCACCATACATAGTCATTGCATCAAAGAAATATGTCTTATAGGCCACATTGTAAGTACCATATTTTATTCTATTCAAGCAATCGAGACTTCAGCGATGGATTAGGGTTTTCTTATGATTGTACGCTCAATAAAGGAGGGAGAATGCCAAGGGTTGATGACATTTAGGGCTCATTATGTCATTAATGACAGGGTTTAAGGTTGGCAGTAAACATATTGATGTGTCCTTCAACATGAAAACACGAAAATACCCTCGTGTAAGGGGAATGTGCTTAAGAAAATGATGGAATTTTAACGGTTGTTATAATTAGGGGTTAAATCCACAATGAAACTCTCAAATAAAGACACCCTTTTGCAAAATAAAACTTTTTGACCTTAGTCAAAGAAAATTGCAAACCACACGAACCATTTTTGCAATTTTCTCGGATGAATCTATTGTATTCAGTGGTTTCAAAAGTATTCTTAAAAATATCTTCTAGTATTTTTTTTGGAAATAGATAGTCTCATTGCAACAATTGGGAGTACCATGTTCCAAAAAAGGCACACCCAATTGCCCAAACAACCCTTTATTGGAAACTTTTCTCAAAGTATGACCAATAAGAACAAGTAATATACATGTTAAACTAGAATCCAAATATTACAGACCAAATATAACTCACAACATAAACTTTTAACCTAAAGTTCATAAGTTTAAACGCCAATACCATCAAAACCAACTTGTTAATCAAAGCAATCAAACCTGTGAAAAAATAATAAAACAAATTGATAAGTTTAATTAATCTTTCTTTTTGTTGAGTGTGATAAAATTAAGAAAACTAACCTGATTAGCCCATGATGATATGAGATGATGAGCGATTGCAAAAGGTCCAGGAACAACCATCGATGCAAGTTCCCCACTTTCAACACTAAAATCCGCAGCAAGATTTTGACCTTTTTCAACCCCTTTGCATATCTGGTCAACCTTTATTGCAGCTGTTTTTTGTGCCTTTCCATATTCAGCAAAAGTCAACGCTCTCTTCACTTCTTCTCTACTTTTCCATTCGGCATCTATGCAAAACAAGAAACCTCGATGTCATTTGCATTTCACAATATAAATATGATTAAAAAGATTTGTAAAAATTTAGACTTACCATCTAACTCTTTTTTGTCCACATTTATTTCAAGTGATGATGCGTATGCAAAGAACCCTACCATTAGTTGGCATGGCATGCTACTACTTCCAACTGCAAACAAACCCAATAAACAACGTATCAAAATGGAAACAAAGTATAGGTGATTTTTACAATTTCGGTCCCAAAAAATTCTCTTTTGCAATTTTGGTCCTCGTTTGAGGTTCTTGTTACACTTTTGGTCCCTTTTCCAAATAAAATGACTATTTTTGTCCCTAAGACGAGCCAATTTTTGCAATTTTGATCCTAAAAATACAGTTTACTCTTATAATAATCGTAAAAAACTATTCGTTCTGTGGCAAAAATCAATAAAATAGTTAGATTACATTGTCTATTGTGTATTCTGTCCTTTTTCAAAACCAGGTAACCTAGAAATATGGCTTTTTAAACAGTGAAAAAAAGCAGAATGGTTTTATCATTAGTAGAAGATAACTACAAAGGTTTCTTAGTTTCTATATTTTGCCCTAAAACGATAATGGGCATAAAGTATCTTCCTTTTTTTACTACAATTAACCCTAGTAAAAAAATATTACCTGGCCATGGTTGAGAACTATGATAAACAACATCATCAACTTCAACGCCTGTCTCTTCCCATGTTTCTCTCCTTACTGCCTCTTCTAAGCTTTCTCCAGGCTAACAAAGATTTAAAAAAAGTTTTAAAAAAAATCCCCTAATCCACAATCCGATAAGCTAGGGAATAGAGGTTTTACATTTTACAAATTTTCCCTCGTTTTATTTTTTCTTTCCACGTGTGCTTTTAATTTTCTCAAATGCTTTTTAAACAACGTATCCTTTAGAATGGAGCGACTATCAATTACTATAAATAGCAAAGTTACATTTTTTGAAATGAAGTCATCCAATTGTACTAAAAGTCTAAAACGTACCTCAAGAAAACCAGCAAGACAAGTCCACATTCTAGGCACGAATCTCGTTTGTTTACTAAAAAGTGCACGATCGTTTTCTTTATCTATCACCAACATAATGACAACCTATAGAACAGGTAAAATGATAATAAGATAAAAATCGATAGAATTTTAAGAATGATATTAGCATACCGGATCGATTCGTGGGTAGATCTTCTTTTTGCAAGATTCATTTACACATTGCTTCCTTCTCCCAGCTTCAATGGGAATTAATTTTCCACCACAAGATCCGCAAAAACGTGATGTATTATGCCATTCTAGTAATGCTCTCGCCTAAATAATTCCCCAAAAATTAATAATATAAATTTTTGTTTAAAAAATCTATAAAAATAACTACCACTAATAATTCTAAGAATTACTTTTTCTAGTAAAAATATCTACATACTATTAGTTTACTAGAACTAGAAAGTGTTTAATTTAGGGTTGGAAAGATCGGTAATATAGTAATTTTTGTTTTTATCAAAAACTAATTACTTGATCTCCAATCAGAATCAAAATCATTTTTTACCAAAACCATAAGAGGTTAAATATCCTCCTACTAAGGTAGTGTTTGTTTTTTGTCTGTAGATCTGCGTGGCCTCTTCTGTCTGCGCCG